CCGGCCCGGGCTCTCAATTCACCAGGAGCGAAGCCCCGGGAGGTTTTGGGGGAGTCACAGAAAGGGTGCGCGGCATCCTGTTAGGGGTTTCCGGCTTTTGGGGCTTATTCCCTGGGGTAGGGAGGACAGCGGGGTAGGACTTAATTTTTTTTGGGGGGCTTCCACTTCAGAAATAGTTATAACCACTGTGTAGCGCCCTGGGGGATGCTGGCCCATTTTTAAGACAACGGGAGGGGTTCTTCCCCCTGGGGGGGAGGGGGGTTTTTGGCCCCCCCCCAACATATTTTCTTGGCCCCCCTTTAGGGTTCCCCCAAAAAAAAAAAGGCAAAAAAAGATGGGTACCCGGGTGGTGGAGCTCAGAAAGGGATGGGTTTTTTTTTACAACTTGGTTCCCAAGGGAAAAACCCCCAACCCGGAGGGAAAACACCGGGGGGGGGGCGGCTTGTTTTACAACGTGGTTGCCAAGCGAGGAAAACCCAACCCCGCCACAGGGGGGGGGGGGTACTCATAGTCGTGCATGCCGAAGTCGTTAGACCATTGACCTCGCATCCCTACAAAGCCGGGACGGAGCACGCCGGGTTCTCACCGGACCAGGCTCTCACATCACCAAGCGCGAAGCGCCGTGAGGTATTCGGCGAGTCGCATGAAGGGTGCGCTGCATCCTGCTAAGGGTGCTCGGCATCTTGTGCTTACTTCCTTGCGTACGGATGACAGCTGCGTATGACTTAATCTATTTTCTGGTGCGTCCACTTCCAGAGACAGTTATAAGCACTGTGTAACTGCCTCGAGGATGCTTGACCGTTTTATCCCAACGTGGTGCGATCATCCCCCTTGCCCGGAGTGAGGTTTCTCCACCCCGCACAATAGATCTACTCGACCACCATTATGGTTACCGCCAAAAAAAAAAACAGATGTAAAAGAACCCGGTAACCTGGTTGCCGAGTTCACGAAGTGAATTGGCTTTTTTTACAACGTCGTTGTCAAGCGACGAAAACCCAATCCCGATGGCAAACACCGAAGGGGGGGGGGGGAGGGTATTCTAAAATCAAGAAAAGCTACTATGTGGATGACAGGGGTAGAATTGCTGTAACCATTGTTTCACATACAAGATAAGGACCAAGATACGATCCGAGCGAAGGATGTTACTGATGGTTGATCAGCAAGAAACCCGACTATGGATGCGTCCCTCTTGGCGCCACCTGCGGAGCTGGGGAATCCGAAACCCTCGGGCTTGGTCTCCCTGGCCCCTCCGGCGACTCTCTCGTTCATCTCTCTTCCGAGACTGCTTGAAGTATTCTGATAGTTTCCTCGAAAGTACTGTCCACGGATTATTTTTTATTCCGATCTCTCTAACATCTATGTCTCGTTTTCACTATCTGTGTAACATCTAGGTGACGTTTTCACTTTTCTGTGTACACCCTTGCGGTGGGAAGGGTATTTCTTGCGGGTAGACACGTTGACCGACGCTTAATCATCGGCACGGTCTTCTCGTATCCCCTCACGACCGTACTGGAAATCGATGTTCTGGTATGCGTCATGTAGTCGGGCCTGACTTGGATGTTAGACGGTGCTGTTTGCTGTCATTTTGGACGGTAGCCCTTCGCCCTGTTGTGGCGATCTCGGTTGCCCTGTGGAGACGTCCATATTCGTTGAGAACGCACTTCCTCCGTCCCATGAGTCTGTAGCGTTTCGGGCGATAAGTGTTTGAGGCGGAGTGGTAGCGCCGATGGTTGTAATCTTGGGGTTCGTTGCAAAGATAAGGCGAAGGCGATGCTGATGAAACAAGAAATACAACAAAATGACCTTACTTCAATACCAAAAACAAGCCAATATATCCCCGATTTTTGGTGTTTTCTGAGGAGTCGTGTTTCTTTGTGTTTGTCTTCCCCCCGCCGAAATGGGGGCAACCTGTGGCCATTTTTGGACCTACTGATCATTTTTCCGGCCGTTGGCCCATGCAGGGTAATGATCGAAATACATGAAGTGTTGAACCCAAAAAAACGCTCCGTGATGTCGAAAAAGTCATCGCGGAAGGCATCGGACACGGTCAAGTGCTCGTACAAACATAACGCTACACACTCATGAGACAGAGGAAGTACCAGCGTTTTCCGTAGACCAAGGTCTCCCCGGCAGAACAGCTTCGCGGAAGGCTGTACATCGGTTTCGCGTCGAGCGATAGCTTTCATACACATACGTACGTCCATGCAACGGCACAACATCCTGTGACCTATCAGAATAGCCCAACAGTAATTCCTCCTCCCTCTTCCATTCGCTCCTCCACTACCTCTCACTCATGCACATGCCCCACCCTAGCGTTCGTGCGCCGTTGCCGCTCAGATCCGAATGGTGATGAGTGGTCCAGCTTGAAATGGTGTGCACCGCTGTGTTGGGTGTTTGTTGTGTGTCGCGATGTCCCGCCAGATTATGGCATCTCGTCGACTTCGCTTTGCTTTTACATTCAACAACTAGCTTACCCCCCCGTCGCGCAACAGGTCCACCATATGCTCAAAAAGCACCCGTACCGCGAACTGGCTCAGAGTCTTTGCTATTGGCGGTTGCAGTCGCCGCCGTCGGCATTGGGCACCCAGCGCGTGTTGGGTCTCACGGCCTCCTACTCCTACGAGTTCGGGAACGCGAAGGCGGAAGATCGCCTGCGCCAGTTATTGAGCGAGCTGTGCATCACCAACATCGAGACGGCATCCGGCCAAGAACTGGAAGCGGGCGGGTGCCACGACGTGGTGACCGAGGTGTTGCTGCCTCCCTCGACGGCAACCCCGTCCGGAGTGCTGCTCGAGGCGAACAGAACCCAACAGCAGGCGACGACGTTCTTGCTCCGGGAGCGCAGGCACGAAGGCACCGACTTTTCCCGTCGGATCATGATCTGCGTCCGCAGTATGGAGAAGGCGATAACGGCCGTGTCGGAGCACCCTGCTTTCGCCTCGCCGCTTGTCCTCGACGGTCAGATGAAGACTCGCGAGTGGGGCGCCTACGCCCACAGCCTCGCACACAACGGTGCCGGCGGCGGCGGCGGCCGCGGTCGTAGAGGCGGCCGGCGCGGGGGACGAGGAGGCGGTGGCGCCACCAACAGGGGCTGTCGAACCAACCGGTACTCGCGGCAGCCGCAGCCGCCGTCTGTGCATCGTCCGATGCTCGCCGAGCTGGAGCACTGGTACGAGGCCGTCAGGGCCCTGGTCGTGTCCTGGGAGGAGAGGGAAGACGAGGCCGCGATCATCCTCGACATGTTTGGCTGCACGGGGTCCCCGAGCCACCGCGCCCCACCCGAGGCCGTCTGGCCGGGCGACGTGCGGCAAAAGATATCGGCCTTCTGGGAGGCGGTTCCCAGAATGTTCCCTCGGTTCGAGCACCTGAAGAAAGTTCTTCTGGACAAGTACGACCACCACGGAGGCGATGGAAGCGGCAGCAGCGACGGGGAAGCCTTCCTCGGCATAGTGTTCGTGCGCCAGCGCATGACAACCCACGTCCTGGCCCACGTGATCGCCGCCGACCCCCGCATGGCGCCCCGCTTCTCCGCGGCCTGCCTGTACGCCTCCTCCTCCCCCACGACGGCCTCTCTCTCCCTCTCCGAGAGAGATACCGAGGAGAACCTCGAGGCCTTCCGGTCCGGCAGCGTGAACCTCCTCCTGTCGACCTGCGTCGCCGAGGAGGGCATCGACGTCCCCGACGCGAACTGCGTGGTCCGGTACGACCCCATGGACCACGCCGTGTCCATGGTGCAGGGGCGGGGGCGCGCGAGGGGGGCAGAAAGCAGCTTCGTGGTGCTCTGCGAGCGGGCGGACCGCACGACGGCCGATCTCGAGGCCGTCGAGCAGCGGCAGCTGTGGCACCTCCGAAACATGGAGCCAGACCACCAAGGCGAACGCGGCGTGGAGGTTGTGGCCGCCGCCGCCGCCGCCGCCGTTGTGCCAGACCCAGTCCAGCAGGGCGACGACGCGACTCTTGGTTCGGATGGTGCTGGCAGCAGCACAGACACGGGAGACGGGCCTTCCGGTAGCATCGTGGAGGACGCGGACGACAGTACTGATTCTTCGGAGGCCAGCAGCAGCAGCAGCAGCAGTGCAGACACATACAACGAGCCTGCCGGTCGGCATCCGCTTCCTGCAGAGCCAGCGAGCGAGGGGCGCGGTCCAGGCTTGACTCCTAGCGGCGACGTCGACGGTGGTTTGGCTGCACAGGAGTTTCTTGAGCTCCTTGAACACGGAGCACGTGGCGTGCTCCTAGACGTGCAGGACAAGCACGGGCTGGGGGTGGGGGTGTCTCCGAACGGGACGCCTATCCCACCACCGGGGGTGCTGAGTGCAGTACATCTTTTCGCAGAGAAGACGATGGGGATTGTCATGGAGACGTTCAACCAGGACTCTACGAGCCGCCTATGGGCATGCACCCTGTCGTACAAGTCGGCGTTGCGCGAGGTTCACGCCTCGGGGGAGGCGGTGAGCGGGAAGAAGGTGGCGAGGAAGCTTGCGGCGGCGAGGCTAGTCGCGAGCCTTATCAGCGCGACGGGCACGAACGAGCTTCACCGTGGTAGTGGTGCGGCGGTGGCCATGCCGGAAGAGGAGACGACCGCCATGACCGGGCGGCAGCCACCCGACGCGAACGTCCGTAGCGAGTCGAGCTTAGGGAGTGGCACGGGTAACTCTTCTACTACCAGTGACGGCGACGACGGTTCGGCCGCGCTGCAGTCGTTTGAACGCGGAGCACGAGCCGTACTCCTAGACGTGCAGGACAAGCACGGGCTGGGGGTGGGTGTGTCTCCGAACGGGACGCCGATCCCACCGTCTGGAGTGCTGAGTGCAGTTGATATTTTCGCAGAGAAGACGATGGGGGTTGTCACGGAGACGTTCAACCAGGACTCTACGAGCCGCCTATGGGCATGCACCCTGTCGTACAAGTCGGCGTTGCGCGAGGTTCACGCCTCGGGGGAGGCGGTGAGCGGGAAGCAGATGGCGAGGAAGCTTGCGGCGGCGAGGCTAGTCGCGAGCCTTACCAGAGCAACGGGCACGAACGAGCTTCACCGTGTTAGTGGTGCGGCGGTGGCCATGCCGGAAGAGGACGCGGCCGTCATGACCGGACGGCAGAAACCGGACGCGGGCGTGAACAGCGAGTCAAGCGCGCCGAGCGGCATCGATAACTCTTCCGCTACGAACTTCGGCGAAGATGGTTTGGCCACGCTGCGGTCATATGAACGCGGAGCACGAGCCGTACTCCTAGACGTGCAGGACAAGCACGGACTGGGGGTGGGGGTGTCTCCGAACGGGACGCCGATCCCACCGTCTGGAGTGCTGAGTGCAGTTGATATTTTCGCAGAGAAGACGATGGGGGTTGTCACGGAGACATTTGAACAGGATCCGTCTAGTCGCTTGTGGGTGTGCACCCTGTCGTACAAGTCGGCGTTGCGAGAGGTTCACGCCTCGGGGCAGGCGATGAGCGGGAAGAAACTTTCGAGGAAGCTTGCGGCGGCGAGGCTCGTCGCAGATCTACTTGAGGCGATAGCGACTTAATGTGGTCGGGTGCCCGCTTCTTGTGTGACACGCGCGTTCGGTTCTTGGTTAGCCTGGCGTTTCGTCCGTCCCAGTTCCATCCCTCCTTTTCTTGCCCTTCGACTTGCCTGTCTCGTAGAAACAATATCTCAGACATGTCCGTAGTTGCCGTGCGTTCGTGGTTGCTTGATACAATATCTCTTGTTTGTATGTCGTGAATAATCCTGCAGTCTACGGGCGGTGTGTAGACTTTATCGTGTTGTTGCGCGCTTTGACGTGCAATCCTCTTTTTTTTGCCTCTTTTGTTGCGATGATGACCAGTTCGTGTTGGTGTTTGGTGCGAGCTATTCGCGGTTGGATGCCAGATTGAGGATATCGTTCAGTGGTCGGATTGATTCGAAACGTGACGGAAAGTTTGAGTATTCATTAAGAAGCGTGCGTTGGTACCTCTGCGTTGTTCAACCTACCCGCGCCATGTGTTGACCCAGTAGTTCCAAGCAGGCTACTTTCAAACAATCAGACTGCGTGCCTTCTTCGTCGCGGGGAAAATTGTCGCTTGTCATGTCTTCGTGAGTAGCTCCAAGCCGAGTTTTTTATACTTGTGCCTTTTCCGCGCCCATACGTACCCCATCGAGGGGCAGAGTACAAAGCAAAAGCATGTAGGGCATTCGAGACACTGGGCCGACGGCAGTGAACGGGAGTAAGAGGTGCGCGCGTCAAAGATGAAAGAAGAGCGACCGAAACAGTGTTCGGGGGTCGCGTTTTTCATCTTCGCACGAAACCTATTCACGCGCATCGATATGGATGGGTGGCACTTTGATGCGCAACGAAAAGAGGCTGCAAACCCAGCCACACTCGCCCGTGGTTTCATGCTTCTCTATTGAGTACCTTGCGCACGATTAACAAACCACGCTCTATTCCGAAATATTCATGTCATGGAGACATCATGATTCCGCCACAACGTTGTTCTGCACGGCAGCAGCGGGAGAGAAGATGATGCGCGGTGGGGGGGGTGATTCCTCCTCTATGTCTCCATCACACGACAAAAACAGTAGTATCCATGACAAGCAGAGGGTCATACGTTGCAGTGGAGTCCCTGTGCAGTGCGGCTTACACTGATTGTCTGTTTATGCTCGAGCCAATTTTCACCCAAACTATGCCGGACGCTCAGACTTGTGCAATAACCCTCCATGTACAAGGGATCTCTACCGTACTACGTATCTATACTACATGGCGGCAGCAGCATCCTGTCTACAACGTACACCGCCGAACCCGCTACGCGACATTCGCGTATTCACTTAGTCTACATCTCCCATAGCATGCCGACAGCATCGTGCGCAAGCCGGGACCTCTCCATCATTCATTCACGGTACACTCCATCACATCCACCACGGCAGCAGCTCCACCGAAGCAAGCGTCCAAAACATGCATCTTCTATTCGTTCACCTACCGCACTTTGCAAGGTATCGAGGGTTATTCGCCTTTCTTGGTCGGCCCCTCTCTAACAGTCGGTATTTCTTTCAAAAGCCCCGTAACAAAGAAAACAGGGTACCGTGGTGAGTGGGGCATTTCCCTCCACCCATATAAAATCAAGCTCCAAGGACCACAGCAGGACGTTTATATACACTCACACGTCGCTGCAAACCTATTAGAGCCTATTAGAGCCACAACGAGACTTAAGGTAGCTCGCCATAAGGTTCATCTGAAACATCGACGGGCTAGTTATCCCCTGTCCCTCCCCCGACCACCACCCTCAGACACGCCTGAATGTGCCTGTCAACCTCCTCGGCAATCCAGATCTGTTCCTCGGGCGGCAGGGTCTCGCCGAACGCATGGCTGCCGGAATTCCGGTCGAGCATGGACAATCAGCACACAGGAGGAGCGAGAAGCGGGCATTGAGGTAGGGGGGGTTATCTTCAGCCACGGGCCACCGAACACGAAATACTTTCAAGCCAAGCGTAAAGGGTGTGTGGGCGGGTGGCCTCGTCACAATCAAGCGAGCGAATCTAAACTACTAATAAGAGTTGTTTTTTGTTGACGAAAAATATTAGTTCGAGGCTCCAAGACCACCACGGCAACGTGTCCGCCTCAAGCCTCGCTCCGTCCCGGCGTTGCAGGGATGCGAGGTCAATGGTCTAACGACAACGGCATACGTTTACATGAGTGCACCCCCCGCCCCGTCACCTCGAGGCGGGGAGCATTCGGCGTTAAATTCGCGCCTATAGCACAGCAGTGGCCTTACAGGTAGAAGGAGCACGCACAACATGATGCTAACTTTGAGCACGCACAGACCAAGCGCCAGAGTGCAACGAGGTGCAAAGTTTCGAAACACAGAGGAAGCGACACGACATCGATCGACGAAGAGATTAATAGATTCCTCGGAGTCCCCTCGACTGCCGGAAATCACGCTCTGTCCTGTATCTATACCCCCCGGGTGCCCGAAAAACGTGCCTCGAAATTGCCATTCCTGTCGCCCCCACCTCTCACGCAAGCCTTCTCCAGGCTCTTATAGCTACCTATGCCTCCAAGCGTGCCGCGTTCACACGGGACAAGGCAGCGACACCCACCGATTGACGCCCTCGATGAGCTGGAGCGACCAGTTCTCCACCGGGTTGCCGTGCTCGTCCGAGGCCCGCTTCACCAGAGACCGGCAAGCCACCTGCCGCGTACGGTAGGGGACGTGGAGAAACAAAACCGACAACAACAAATAGACGTGGTTACCTCTATCTCTCGAACGTGTAGTCTGTCTGTGATTGTATGTATATTTTCGAAAAACTGTATGTACGAGACCTCCCCTGAACGTGCATGAATGCATCATGGTTTGGAGAGGTACCACGACATTGTTATGTACAGCAGTACTTGCATCATTTCGTAAAAAAAAGAAGGGGTGTCCTCGGAGAACACGTGGTGCCGCAATGGACGCATACTGAGGCTGGCCGGCCACGGTGCAGATAGCTTCGCTGTTCGTTGCGATGGTGAGTCGCTCAAAAAGCGGTCCTTTGCGCGCTGCCAACCTGACCACCCTGACCACCCTGGACGGTCGTCAATGTAGCAAGAGCAAGTACGGTAGTAGCTGTTCACTTGTGTGGTGGTCGTTGGTATTCGGGAAATGCTGTCTCCCCCCACCCCCTCCCGAATCGTCTTCACTACGGCGCAGGAGCAGCAAAGTCCAAACGTGATCAAAGGGAAGTGCATGTGCATGCGCTTCGGCACTGTTGTCTCCCGCGTCCAAGATGTACAACAGGCTGATGTCCATTTCGACCTGTTCGTCGATCGTCCCGTCCCGCTTGCGCGCGAACAGGTGGTAGCAGATGTTAGCTCGTGTTGTGGTCTTTGGTATTCAGGCAGTACGGTCGCCGCCTCCCCCCCCCCCCCTCCCCCAAAACGGTCTTCTCACTCACCAAGTCATGCGTGCTTCCTGCCACCTCGGAATCTGCGGTTTTCGCGCTACGCCAATCCGCTTCCCACTGAGCTGCCTCGCTCGCGGTTTCGCTCCGTTTTGTCTTGCCCCTTGTCTTCTTGCTCGAAGACGACGACGAGGAGGAGGTGCGCCTCAAAGGGGCCCAGCGTTGGTTCAGGCTCCACCTGTATGAAGGACACGCGAGTAGCATCGTACCGAGGGTACGGGTGTCAAACACCAGCACGATCTCACCGCCGCCCCGCCGAAAAAACTCATTAATACCGCTTTCGCATCATCTCAGCGATGCTAGCTTCGCACCACCACCACAACGACGGCATCGAGGAAACGGACGAACACAGCAGCAAAGTCAACGATTCTCACCGACCCATCCCGACCTCCAGCCTCTCCCACATGCAGATCCGCTTGGCGGTTTCCAGGCCCAGCTTGCCGCCGGCGAACAAGAAGGGCGACATCCACAGCGCCGGGAAGAGGGCCGCCACGCCGCCTGCCACGGTGTACGATATTCATCGGACATTTGATGTTCCCGCCATGTAGTGATGGTCAACATACCTATGGATGGTCGTCCGAGCCGCCGCCGTTGTTCAGGGGACGAATCTCCTGCTATCTCCTGCTGCTGCTACTGTTTGCCGTCGCTGGTGTTGCGATGGCTGCTACTGATAGATTGCGGCGCCCGAGCCGTGTTCTCATAATAGCCCTGCCGGGACCCGCAGTCTCCATACAGCAAGGAAAATAATCGGGGCTGCTGCGATCGTTTCAACAACCATCGGATCATATCTTTCAAATGATTTCTCTCGTGCGTCCCCGCGTGCCAAGAAAACACGCGCCCGAATTCGATTGACAACGATTGGTGCTTGGGTATTTGCTTTTTCTTTCGTTTCGCTGACATGCACTCGTCCGTTTACTCACACGGAACCCCTCGTGATACCCGCGGACCCCGTGCGTTCATCCCGTATACAATACCGCTGAACGTTGTGTTTGTGGTACGGGTCGCCGTGTACACTGAAAACCTCGTGCGTATGTTAGTACTCTGATACCGAGGCTTACCGTAGTCTACTTTGTTTTCTGCTCGTGTCGTCATGGTCGTGTTCGTCAAGGTCAGCCCTTCTTGCGGGTAGCCTGGAAAAGAGTGAGTGGCACACCAGCCACCACCGGCAGTAGGCAGACGAACCGAATCACTCGTCCTAGGGAGAAATAAAAACAACTGCGAAAACAGAGCCACCAGTTATAGTACTACACATCTAGCTTCAGCTTGCCCCGCCAACCAAGACTGATGAGGGCATGCACCATTGCCATCGGTGTGACAGTAGCAGCAGCAGCAGCAGCAGCAGCAGCAGCAGCAGCAGGAGACGGCTTACAGCCTCTCACCGGTGAGCAAGGAGGCCGTCATCCCGATCACGATGCCGTTCCACATCAAGGCAAACGCCCCCACCGATGCCGCCTGTCCGGAGAGTCCCTCGGGGGGGATATCCACAACCTTTTAGTAGTTGGGCCCGGGAAAAAACAAGAAACAAAAGGGAAAGCGAGGGAGAGAGAGAGAGAATGGCAAACAAGGTCTCGTGTGCGAGGACGTTGAAACACGCAGAGCACGAGGAATTCGTTCGGGTTTTGCGTTTGGTGATGCGTGGGAAGGCACCACACGTCATCACTACCGCAACAAACTTCCAAGATTTTATACCACACATTTTGTTTTTGTCGAAAACATCCACGACGTATCACCTGAAAAACAACACAGACAGGGGACTCGTTCATATCTCCTCATCACACCACCACACAACCACCACTACTACAGCAACAAATTGCAACTTTATTTTTTTGCGTACACAGAATCGTTTTTTTCTTCGACGAATACATGTCTGTACGCCCTGACTACATCGACAACTACAACCTCGTCCATATCCCCTCGTCACCACCTCCACCAGCAACAGCAACAGCAACAGCAACAGCGCCAAACCACGCCTCATCGTGTACATGCGAATGGAAGTCGCCGGGGCTCACCAGCGTGCCGCCTTCCCTCCGAATGGATGTCCGGGCTCCCACCGGCCGCCGCTTCACGAGGCCGAACAGACTACCCCCGTCGTCCCCCTCTGCAGCAACAGAAGAAGTCTGAAAATTCCAAGGCCGAGCAGGGATAAGGGAAACGAGAGGGGCGAGGCGAAAAGTTTGAGAGGCCATATTCGGCAGAACAAAACAGACGAGCTTCACATCCGCTTCATGCATTCGCGAATGGATTAAACAAACGAGACCAGCGGAGAGGCCAGAACGAGAAAGAACGCGCTCTCTCTTTCTGTCTGTCTCTGTCTGTCTCTGCCTCTGTCTCTGTCTCTCTGTCTGTCTCTGTCTCTCTGTCTGTCTCTGTCTGTCTCTGTCTGTCTCTGTCTCTCTTTGTATCTGTCTCTGTCTCTTTCTCTCTCTGCCTCTCTCTTTCTCTCTCTGTATCTGTCTCTGTCTCTGTCTCTGTCTCTGTCTCTCTGTCTCTCTGTCTCTCTCTTTGTATCTGTCTCTGTCTCTGTCCCTGTCTCTGTCTCTGTCTCTCTGTCTGTCTCTGTCTCTCTGTCTCTCTCTGTCTCTCTCTGTCTCTCTCTGTCTCTCTTTGTATCTGTCTCTGTCTCTTTCTCTCTCTGCCTCTCTCTTTCTCTCTCTGTATCTGTATCTATATCTGTCTCTGTCTCTGTCTCTGTCTCTCTGTCTCTCTCTTTGTATCTGTATCTGTCCCTGTCCCTGTCCCTGTCTCTGTCTCTGTCCCACGCACTTGCAACACCCGAGTACAGTACCATCATCTATCATCTGGATAGTCGTTTTCAAGACCTCGCAACACCTCTTAACCCGGTCAACATTCCTATATTCCTCCCTATTGTCCCCAAACAACACACTCACCACGAACCAATCCCGACGATAGCTTTGCCAAAAAACAACACACGTAACACTTTGCTGCTCAAGCGCAGCCTCCCGGAGACTTCCTAAGAAATTGCGCCACTGCTCATGGGAGCTGAGGTAGTTCCGAAGGAACTCTGTTGGGGGCATTGTATCTGCCTGGAGGCGAATGGCGTTGGAGAGCTGCAGCACATAAACTTAAAGCGAGCAACCATTTTATTCAGCCTTCAACATGCTTAGAAAAAAAAACTGATGCCTCCCAGACTTACGGCGTAGAGACGGGTGGAACAACAGCACAATTATGGTATCCCGCGTCGAGCTCACCTCCCCCACCCCCACCCCCAGCGGTTCCACTTCGCCGTACCCCCTCCAGTCATCGTCGCCCCCACCCCGTTCATTCGAAGTCACCTTCCGGCGCTTGCTTAGAGCGGAAAGCCCACCGCTCGGAGAAGAACCTGCGACGGT